AAGGTTAATGCAGCTTTTAAAAGATTACTTTTTTTAAATTTGATAAAAATTCTTAAAACGTTTTTCTATATGATCATCTGTTACTTAATAATTATTTTAATAGAAGCTCAATACATTTTTTCAAAAATCATAATGGTCAAGATAAGAAATCGTTATTTTTTTTTTAATAGATTATTGAAAAATCTAGAAGCTCTATGGTGGCTTTTGAAAGCTATATTTAGGATCCATTTCACAGAATTTCTGCCACACAAAAATGTAAACACTATTTCCAACCAAACAATAAAATAAAGAACATTTTAGGACTTCATGTACATGCATGTTTTTTTTCCTTGCGTGGCGAATGAATGCCTGAATTTTTCCTTCAATGAAAAATTGTCTCAAAACCGAAAAAGGCACAAGGAACTAATGACCAAAAAAACATTTTTGAGGCAAATCCCTCTAGCGATCTTGTTCTTGTGATCAGTCCGAAAGTTTAACAGTCACAGCTAGGACAACAAAGAACATTTTTGTGGAATTTGAAAAATACTTCAGAAATAGTGACGAAGATATTTTGATAACTTTTGTAAACATATTCTTTTCAACGGCTGGACATGTGTACAGAAAACATATTTTACCCTTCACCACTTTAGACCATTCTAGGACCCCAATACATTTCCCCATGGTCATGTGATTTTAATGCTTCAATATCTTCTCAATTATGCATACATTATTACCACTCAGTGTAAAGCAATGTTTTAATACAATCAGGGTTTTTGCCGCTTTTTTGGGAAAGGGCTCCCGAGCAGGAATTAGGAAAATATCTTTGGCATTTGGGAAAAAATATGAAATTTCATCAGTGTTCCCACATGTACAGGTTTGGAAAAACAAGTTAATATCTATTTTCAGCCTTTTTGTCTGTGCATTTTGAATACTCGTTCATAGACGGTAATAATTTATATATGACTGGAAACTTGTATAATCCTGCTTTTTAATCCAAATAAAGACTAAAATTGGGAAAATGCAGGGTTATTTTTCATTCAGGAAAGAGTCCCTGTACCAGACCCTAAAAACACCTAGCAAAAACCCTGACAAACTCCATGTAATAGACCACACATTAAATTTACACTTGCACATTATACAAATCCCTCCCCCATTAACTCTCGTCTTTCTTCTGGTAAGATAGTTATTATACTACATCACCTTCCGATTGTTCTCTGCATGAAACACAAAACACAGAAAAAAGGTACTCCCACATCCTTTATTAATTCAACAAGTACAATCTACTTGAGTGGGATAAATCGTGAGGAGTGAGTGGCACCAATACCGGGACGACCATGCTTGACAGGCTTGTATGTGATGCTGAACTCTCCAAGGTAGTGGCCGATCATTTCAGGCTGTAACAGATAATCAAATCTCCAAATATTACAGTAGAAGAAGAACAGATGTTCGTAAAACAATAATTGTATTTTTTTTTAAATATAAGCAATAAGTAGAAAGATAGCAACTACTGGTTTTATTTTGACAACATTTTTTATGAAGAAAAGTTTACCTTGACTTCAATTTGGTTGAAAGTCTTGCCGTTGTATACTCCAATAACACTGCCGATCATTTCTGGTACAATGATCATGTTCCTCAGATGTGTTTTAACTACCTGTAAAACACAAAACAGTGAACCTTACACATCAACGGCTTTACAGGAAATAACATGCTATTTTTTGGGAAACAGTCCACTGGTCAAAATTGGGTAAACAATGCACAAAATCTAGTAAAATTAAGACTCATATTTGTTCCCATTTTTTTGGGTCAAAATATATTTTCATGAAACGGAATGCACTATAGGATTGTTTCGTCACATTGAAAATATCTTTTTATTTATCCTTTATGTTATTCATAATTTAGTCAATTGGAGAGAAACATTTGGAAAAAAAACACCACACCAAAGAACATGAAGCCAAATAAAAAATGTTTGTTTCCAATCACTCCACCTACCATGAACTTTCTTTTGACTATTGTTTTTAGGCAGTACTGTTAGAGTCAATATGCCTCTCCTATATAAATCTGATAAATAATGGGGGAAAAATCACTGCCAACCTACCTTAATTTTTTAGACATTTACAAGAAACAAGGCATAACAGACTAACTTAATACTTTTGTTGACAATCGATCCCACATCGTTTCACAGAAAAACATCAATAAATTGAATTTACTGGGTGATATCCCTAGACAATTTGGGGTAGATGTTTTACTTAAATAGCCAAGAAAAACATTGAACAGAATTATTCCCTTTCCCACTAATTTTTAGAGGCCAATAGCTCAAACTTTTACCTCTGGCTTTTCTAGGGGTTTGGCCTCCTTTTTGGCCTTCCTAAGACGCTTGATGAGTGCCATGGGCTTCCTCTTCAGACCCCTCGAGAACCTACGGCGTGCCCTGGATGTCAGCAACTCCATCAACTGTTCACTGAAATCAAACAAGGGAGTATATTATTGATCATTTTTTGAGCAGATATACCATGCAAAGAAGTTATACAATCTAATTAAAATTATATCTTCACATCGCTCCCGTTTACTGATATGTCGCGTTGAAGATCTAACAACATCCCATAGAGGGTCACGTCAGAGGTCAACATGAATGCATTATCGCAATTATAACAAGCCAATCAAAACGCGACATAACTCTTTCATTCAACCAATCAGAAAGCAGGACCTGTAGCATTTAATGCAGACACCTCGTAGCCCAAAATCCACTTTTTCGTCTGGTCCAGTGATAGTTTGAATATTGCGAAGCCTGTCATTGGTTAATTTTAGTTTCAGGTTGTTAAACTTTTTAACGACAACATCACCAGAAGAGGAAGTCTCCCTTATTTCAAAGCAAAATCCACAAATTGTACAAACGTTGTCTTGTAGATAGACACGGCGTGGTGTCATGGGCGCCGCCATTTTCGATGCTCATTTGNTGAAGATATAATTTTAATTAGATTGAGAAGTTATAGAAACAGTACAGACATCCGAAAACCCTTCTTAACTTTGCATTTACTCATGCACTGTTCTCGGTTTTGATACATGTACACTTGTACTTTAAAGAGTGGAGTTTAAACCATGGCAGACTGGCTTTGTTAAATCTGCCATTTCAAGTTGTTTGCTATCTATCAAGGCATAGTCATATTGGTATTGGAATACAAGTCTGAGGTTTAATTATACGTTACAATCTAAGGTTTATATGTGTAGTTATATATATATATTAATTTGTGCTGAAGTAATACGTTTGAGCCTAAGTTTTAGGTAAGATTTTATAGATAGAGTTTTAGGCTTCGACAAACATAGGAGCCCAATTTCATTTTTGTATATTGCTGATCCTCCTGATGTCTAATACTTTCTGTTGAAAGGATGACTTTCTTTTTGCTAATTGCACACGTGATTACAGTCGCACTTGATGGAAATTCCCTTTAGCTCAGTGGTAGAGCATCTGACTAGGAGTTGGGGAGTCACGTTCCCAATCTCTGCTTGAAGCACACTATTCTCTTCCCTGTTACACGTGATGTCCTCTGCCCTCCTTGTGATGACAGGGAGTTGCAGTGTAGAACCTGGGTTGTTGTGGTGTTCGATGATGAAATTGTTTATAAAGGGGGGAGTAGTGCGACAGATTTTAATAGTACATCGGATTACAGCCGCCTTCTATACCTTCACACAAGAGGGAAATTGCATTTTACTCAGTGGTAGAGCACTTTTCTGTTGCAAATCCTGTTTATGGCCTTTCCAGTGATGACAGGGAGCGAGAACCTAGGTTGTTGTGGTGTTCAAAGGCGAACTCGTATATCAAGAGGGATTAATGTGGCAGATTTTTATTGTACATGGGAATACGGTCGCCTTCTAGCCTCGCGTTAGATGGAATTTCCCTTAGCTCAGTGGTAGTGCGTAAGTTTGGCGTCGTGTTACAGTTATTTTGCCTGTAGCTTATATGAGTCCACTTTTAATGTAACAAGAGTGAGATTAAAACCAGGTGAGCGGTGCCGGCCTTCGCGGCCTTTTGGGTCTTTTGTTGGATAATATCTTGACTGTAAACAAATGATTGATTATCTATACCTTAGTTATAGGATAGGCTTGTGCCCAACTTGTTTTATTGGGAAATGACATTTCTCGAAATACGCTTCGGATTGTTTATAATGCTATTTATCTTCCTTAGTAGCCGCTTTTTTTATTTAGATTCAAAATAGACACAGGCTCTTGAATCTAGTATTCAATACCCGAGCTATTAAATACCAGATAGAAGCGCCTGTGAAATAGGTTACTGGAAAATGTTAATGGACCTTCTGACAAAACTTAAACATACACACCTTGACATGTCCAAAAGTTGGTCAAGATCAACACCCCTGAAAGTGTACTTTCGGAAAGTACGCTTCTTCTTCTTTTCCAACAAATCTTGGGTTTCTTGGTCAGCCTGCAATCGAAAATGTTGTCGATCAGATCATGTAAACAACTAAAATGTGTCGCTTCAAACTTCATTTTTGCGGAGTTAAACTTAGTTCACGATAATGAAATGAAAAGATTTGGGTAGTTTATTCAATTCTTTCTTCATACAAATTTAAGATTATATTATGGCGTCCATGATGTGGCCGATTTTATCAGATTGATTATGCTGTCATTTATTCGCTCACCATGGTGGAAATTTAGACCGGAAAGAGAAATACAGGAAGTGGGTCTGATTTGACTTCCCAGAATCCCTGTACCGGATAGTTCAGAGTTACGTCCCTTGGACAGGTGCGATAAGTGACATGAGACGAAACAGGCAGGTGAGACCTGTAAACAAACACGTTAGTGGCCAAACAAACAATAGCGTGCAGTCAGGTGTGTGGAGAGATAATGATGGATAATTAGATCAACGAGAATGTGAACGGACTTCTTTACCCCCCTAGTGCACACCATGTAAAGTTTACCTTTCAGAATCAATGGAGTTATCGTTGAGGAGACTGTACGAAAGCAGGTACAAGGCGGGAGCAGAGACTAACGTCAGAATTGTTCCACTTTACAGACAGTATGTCAAATTCCTTTAGATTCTCAAGACTTCTCCCGCGGTTTCTGAGAAGTGATAAAGGAAAATCTAATTCTAATGCTGACTGGGAATACTCTGGCGACAAACCAAAAGATGGACATGTTTGTAAAGTATTGTTCTTAGATGACACCGAGATACTGCTCCCTTTTAAGGTGAGTATATGTAGTAAAGTAACAATCATAGACATATTGAAAGACTTCATAACTCAATCATATCAACTTTGCATTGATTTATACACCCAGCTTTTGTTCTCGAATGTTGTTTTTTTTAAATCAATTCAAACGCGTTTAAAAAAATATACTATTTCTTTTAAAACCGTGTATGAAGTAGTACCTTTGGGTACCGTTAACAGCTTCATTCACACTGTACTATTATACATGACAAACTTGAGCATTTACTTATGTATCAAAAATCAATCACTGAAGTTAGAAATCTTATTGATTGAATTTGACAATAACAGGAAAAATGCACAGGCAGACTCGGGTATTCAAACCCAGGACCTCCAAACTCTCCAAAGGATGCTCTATCAGTTGAACTTACTGGTTGTTTGCAGTGTGGCATGGTTCCGCTACATTCAGCCCTCCTAAACAAAGTCATTAACACACAAACCCTATACCACCTTCTGTGTGTTTGTTTTAGTTCAACAGGGCATCAATTTGCAAATGTAACGGGAGAGAAAAAAGGATACATGGTCAGACTGGTATTTGAACCCATGACCCCCAAATTCTAGACAGACACTAGTGTACTTTACCAGTTCAGCTACTTTTTTCCCAGTGATTGACCCAGTTGACTCATCAAAACATGTGGCATTGTTCCGTTACATTCAGCCCTCATTACCAAAGTCTTTAACACACAATACCCTATACCACCTTCTGTGTGTTTGTTTTAGTTGGGCATCAATTTGCAAATGTAACGGGAGAGAAAAAAGGATACATGGCCAAACTGGTATTTGAACCCATGACCCCCAAATTCTAGACTGACACGAGTGTACCTTACTACTTTTTCGCCAGTGATTGACCCAGTTGACTCGTCAAAACTTTGTTGTTGTTCAGGATGCATGCATGAGCCTAAAAAAAATTCTATAAAAATCACTGTTTTGAGTAACAGCTTCAGAAGATCTAGATGAAACAAATACTTATAAAACTTTAATTTGATCATAATCGGATTATCCCTTAATTGAGTTAATTCAGCCTTACCTGAAAGATATAGTGCTTTATAAATGTTTTCAGCTGACAAATCCAAGCAAATTAAAGTTTTGTACATATCTGCCATGTTATAGCAATATTCATGGTGACAGTACATTTATTTATTTACTGATAGCAATATTTTATATAATAATGTTTTCTTTTTGAGAAATTATTTCATGCACATATACATTGTATATATAATATACATATATACAATGTATATAAAAATAAAAGACAGGAGTTTCTTCGACTTCCCTAGCGCCTTCTCATCTTTAGAGGTTCATTAGGGGAATTTGCCTACTGTCCATAAATCTCCATAAAGACCATTATCAGTCAACATTACAGTGTCCAGTGTCAGTAACTGATTGTACATGTAGTGAAATAATTGGGATGCATGAAAACATCATAGATGAGATTATCCAGGTAAATGAATATATGCAACTTACATCTAACTAAATTTGCTTTCGCCAAAAGCAAACTAACATGTCAATATGATTATCGTCTTTTTTTGAGAGAGAGATTAAATAAGAGAATTGTTCCTCCTCTGTGTAAGGTGAACCATAATACACTAGAAGTAACGCTATATCAACAATTGTCAGCTATATTTAAACACAAAACTACTACAATTGTACCTCTATTCGCTTAAAATCTTCTCAAACATTCCCCTCGTACTTACTCGGGCCATTTATCGATCAAAGTGATGCTTTAAATATTATGTCTGTGTATTTACACTCGAGTGTTTGTCCTTCCTTTTTGTTTGCTAAACACATATTTCTGTAACAAAATAGATTTTCCCACAGGTGAATCTGTCATCTGTGTTGAACCGATCAAAAGACTTTACACTAGAACCACCTCTATGACAAAGATGTCTACTTGATCACAATAATTATCTGATCTGTGTTTTCTTAACACTAGAACCACCTCTATGACAAAGATGTACACGTATACTTGATCACAATAATGATCTGATCTGTGTTTACTTTACACTAGAACCACCTCTATAACAAAGATGTATACTTGATCACAATAATTATCTGATCTGTGTTTACTTAACACTAGAACCACCTCTATGACAAAGATGTACACGTATACTTGATCACAATAATGATCTGATCTGTGTTTCCTTTACACTAGAACCACCTCTATAACAAAGATGTGTACTTGATCACAATAATTATCTGATCTGTGTTTACTTAACACTAGAACCACCTCTAGAACAAATATGTATACTTGATCACAATAATTATCTGATCTGTGTTTTCTTAACACTAGAACCACCTCTATGACAAAGATGTATACTTGATAACAATAATTATCTGATCTGTGTTTACTTTACACTATAACCACCTCTAGAACAAATATGTATACTTGATCACAATAATTATCTGATCTGTGTTTTCTTAACACTAGAACCACCTCTATGACAAAGATGTATACTTGATCACAATAATGATCTGATCTGTGTTTCCTTTACACTAGAACCACCTCTATAACAAAGATGTGTACTTGATCACAATAATTATCTGATCTGTGTTTTCTTAACACTAGAACCACCTCTATGACAAAGATGTATACTTGATCACAATAATTATCTGATATGTGTTTACTTTACACTAGAACCACCTCTAGAACAAATATGTATACTTGATCACAATAATTATCTGATCTGTGTTTACTTAACACTAGAACCACCTCTAGAACAAATATGTATACTTGATCACAATAATTATCTGATCTGTGTTTACTTTACACTAGAACCACCTCTAGAACAAATATGTATACTTGATCACAATAATTATCTGATCTGTGTTTACTTTACACTAGAACCACCTCTATGACAAAGATGTATACTTGATCACAATAATCATCTGATCTGTGTTTACTTTACCGGTACCTTGATACTGTCACCTATTTAACAAAACTTTTATACTGCTGATGCGAATAATAGTTCTGTGGCAATATAATGACGATGTCACTCATGGAGATTCAGATCTGAGGAAAGCAGAATAGATAAAAAATCATTGAGTCATAAATTCTTATATATCCTCATATACCGTATATATATATATTTATGGAGTGTATATTCATCACAAATTCTAATTGAATATAATGTGACACATTCCTATTTTTCTAAGTATTACTCATGTGTATACTATAGAAAGTTCAGGCTTTGGTGTTGATCTTATAACATGATCAATCTTATAATGCCAGCCTTTATACAAATATATTTCTATTTGATATTTTCTCAAATATCTTAGCCCCTACATTCAAAGCAACCTATAATGATTTTTTTTTTATTTATGCATGTTACAATTCAAATGCCTTAAAATGGAAGGAATTTGGTGTCTTGTAGCATTAATTAGCCCCTTTCGGATCCCCCACAATGTTTATCCAAATGTTTGACATTTGGTGCGTGTGATGAGAATAATATGAAGATTTGTGTATCGATATATCATTAAACTGAAATTCTGAGACACTCCTAATTGCAATGAGTTTTGTAAATCAGTTAAAAAGAAACAAAAATGAAAGTTGCCCTATTCCATGAAGTAACGTTGCTTTTCTATTTCATCGCATGTACATCCAAAAATCCAGTTTTTAATAAAGGGTGTATTTGTTTTCTTGTTATAGGTCATTATTATAATTTGATACATTTAGTTACAAGAATGCATCAGAAGGGTTTTTACTTCTTAGTATTAAACTTTGTAAATTATTTCAAAAAGAAAACTTGGAATTTTATTTGGATATGATATGGTCGAAACCATCTGGCTCAAATATCATGATCATGATGAATAATAACTTCCAATGTCAAGTGAAATAAATACAGTATTCGGAATAAGATATCACCAATTGTTGCCATTTTATTTATGGAGCATCTCTAGCAGAAAGCCATCACAACTGGCAGAAGGAGTGTCATCGGAAACTATGGAAAATATATGTTGATGATATTTTTGAAGTAGTCAAGAAAGGTGAGGTAATTATATAACAACCTATCAATTCACCTGAACCAGGCAGAGTTTACAGGTTCTATAAAATTTACATCAGAAAAAGACACAGAAATATTCCTCTCCTGGTTAGTCTTATCATAAGAAGAGCTGATGGTTCCATCAAATTGCTGGTATGCAGACCAGTACCTCAACTTCAATTCACATTCATTGCCTCAGAAGTTGGGTGTAGTTTACACTCTCCTGGACAGATGGATAAACATCGTAACTGAACCGGAAAACATGGAAATGGAAAAGCGACATATCAAAAAGGTCTTGACAACATGTGGATACCCCGATTGGACGATAAGGAAAGTAGAAAAACAATTGAAAACAAAGGCAATGCTGATGACCCTGAGAAATATAAACGTACCAACACAGAGAGAAAAACCTATGGCATGGTCACTATATATATACATACCATACATAAAAGGTGTGTGGGAAGCACTTTCTAGAGTGTCCCCCAAACATCACATCAGCATGCCGTTGCGACCACACAACACCATCAAGCAACTAATAGTTCATCCAGAGTACAAATTGCCGGAAAAGGACAAAACCGGTGGTTAACCAAATTCCATGCTACGTACAGCTGCAACCTTACATACATCGGGGAAACTGGCTGGAAATTTGGGACACACCTTAAAGAACATCAGAAATACATTGAAGCTAGGCCATGGGCCATGAAACAGCAAGTCTACACTAAAAATACAAGGAGGACATCGGAGAGGCAATACACTAAATCAGCCATTACAGACCATGCTAACACACACAACCACATCATAGGCTGGAGGACAACTGGAAGTCAGGAAAATCAAAGAATCCATCTGTTAGTCAGTTAGGAGAGAAGGGGATTTGATGATCAGAGACGAAGGGGGCCACCAGCTGAGTCATCTTTACAACCCCATTTTAACATCTATTAAGGGGCAGATTTGGTAAACATGTTACCCATTCCCCTGACTACCTGCAGTAGAAGAATGGGACAAAATGCCTCCATGATATTTGACAGCTGATTTTACTTGTTTGGGCCCACTGTGGCTCAGTGAGTTGTTTTCAGAAGTTAGAGGTGAGATACTGGTCATTTGCACTCTTTGCTTGACAAAGGAAACAGACATTTTGAAAGCTCACAAGCTAAGTTTTCAACTCCTGTTTGTGTTCAAAACAAACTTAGCCTTTATGAAATTATTACAGCCTGCTTTAATCACCAATGACATGAGTTTCCCTGTCCCCAACATACACAGGAACTGAAAGGTATTGGGTCACCAGTTGCCCAACCTTGTGGATTCACATTTTTTTTAAGGGACTCCAGTTTCCTTCCATATCATAAGTTGGGAAAATAAATCTGATTGTTTTAGATGAATAAAGTTCAACTGAAGTTAAGTTAAACTCTAAAATCACCTGAATTTGAAAACTACAAAAGTGAATTGAAGCGGTCTGTATAACCTCTGACACTATGCTGAGATGGTCTTTGTTTCCTGTGGTTATATATAACTAATGATATTGTATTCTCTATGTAAATGTTTGACTTGACCATGTCCTTGTTTGATAGGATATGTATGATCATGTGAGTAATTTCAATACATTACTGATCCATTGTTATAATTAAGTTGTGATATCATTATATGCATATTCATGTAAAATGATGTAATACTGTATACTGGGAAATTTTCGATTCAGTTTAATTTTCACCTTTTCCACCCTATGTAATGAGTGCGAATTTATCATTACAGTGGATATTTGTAAATATCATCATATATGTAGTAATAAATGTGAAGGGCGAATTGAATATCGGGCTGAAATGAATTTTACCATCTAATGGTGAAAAAATTGACTGGGAAAAGATTTTCTGGTATACAGTATATGTACATGGATTACTAGCTAGAAATCATGTTCTGTCATAAAAGTTTATAAATTTATGTATTGTACAATAAATTTACAGTGAAATTTTCTTGTAAAAAACACTCAATACAAAAAATGAGAAGTGATGAGAAAATACAGTCCTGATAGCTACATTGTATAGCCATATACATGGTCTTTATACACAGGCTGATCATGAGTCGCTATTCTTTGGGATTGTCTTAGATGGTTGTAGTAGACGGGTTGTCTTTAAAGCAGTGTGGTATACAGATCTATATATTAAAGCTATGAGATGAATCAATCACTATTGCTACATGCTGCTATTCTTACATTTATATTTAATGCAGGGAAGTTCCAAGGGATCGGTACTGCTGGACGAAGTGTACGGTCACCTGAACCTGGTGGAGAAGGACTACTTCGGCTTGAGATACCTCGACACTTCTGATCAAACTGTAAGTTCTTTAACAGGAAAATATTAGCCTCATTAATAAATCATATCAAGCTTTTTCTTTTTTGATGGTTAGCTCAGCCAAAAGTCCAAGTGCAAGTGATCATGAGGGTACAATTATGCCAAGGTGCAGTATCTGATATTTTATCAGAAAATTAAAAAAGAAAGTAACAATACCAAAATCAGACTTCATGTATTTAATATCAAGTAATTTAGCTATGTTTTAGATATTTTCCCACAGGTCTTCATGCTATACTTTAAAGATATTACCCTTGGGTTGATAAAGATATTACCCTTGGGTTGATAAAGATATTACACTTGGGTTGATAAAGATATTACCCTTGGGTTGATAATGATATTACCCTTGGGTTGATAAAGATATAACCCTTGGGTTGATATAGATATTACCCTTGGGTTGATAAAGATATTACCCTTGGGTTGATAAAGATATTACACTTGGGTTGATAAAGATATTACCTTGGGTTGATAATGATATTACCCTTGGGTTGATAAAGATATTACCCTTGGGTTGATATAGATATTACCCTTGGGTTGATAAAGATATTACCCTTGGGTTGATAAAGATATTACCCTTGAGTTGATAAAGATATTACCATTGGGTTGATATTTTCAGGCCTGTGCATATATGCATTCATCACACAGGAATGATTGATTTTGTTTCTACCACATTTTCCTTTTGTTCAAAATGTTTCAAGTCCTAAGGTGGACCCAATGCTCTCTGCCATCATCAATGTCGCCTGAAATGTGTGACACATCCCTATTGTGATATAGTTATGCTGCATAAAGTAAGGATGTTCACAGAATAAAGGCATGTGTTAGCTGTCTTTATCAGGGTAGTTCAAGGTACATTGATCTTTTCCATAGCCAAATGAAGACACCTGTTAATTGTGGAAGAACTTGTTATCTTGTTAAAGTTAATTAAATTTAGAGTACCTATGGACCAAAGTGAATCAATATGTCGAGTTGTTTGAGTTTTGCTGACCCACTTACATATTGCATTTAGCTAAAGGACATTGATAACGAAAGAGTAGGAAAAGCATAGAAAATAATTTACATATATCTACATAATATAATCACTCAGATGTGAAATTGCTGACAGATTATGTTCACAGCCATTATATATTTACAATGTATTTATACAGTTTGTACATTAATTAAGGGTATAATCTATTTCCTATAGAGCCAGGTACACGGGTGATGTATAATGTTGAGCAGTTGTACAGTATATGTAGCTTTGTCTACAGGCATGAAATACTTAGTCATTTCTACACACCTTTTGGTTTGGTGTGGTAAAGGAATTGCTTTGATAACATATATATATATATGATGCATTGTTACTGTTCAGTGAAAAGGGATTAGCCTGCAGGAGTCAACTGGAATTGTGTAATATCTATTACTGTCTTTCACAATAAAACCAATTAATACCTATGGTGGAAATACTTTGAAAATTACAACAAGTTCAGCCTGGTATACATCTCGCACTGTTTTGTTTTTATAGTCTTTCCAAATATTGAAAATACCTCAATGCCTGATTTAAGTATCATTGTCCGTATTGTCCTCCTAAGGGTAAACTGTATGGTGTTTATATCGTAAGGGTAAACTGTATGGTGTTTATATCGTAAGGGTAAACTGTATGGTGTTTATATCGTAAGGGTAAACTGTATGGTGTTTATATCGTAAGGGTAAACTGTATGGTGTTTATATCGTAAGGGTAAACTGTATGGTGTTTATATCGTAAGGGTAAACTGTATGGTGTTTATATCGTAAGGGTAAACTGTATGGTGTTTATATCGTAAGGGTAAACTGTATGGTGTTTATACATACATGTAAGTGGGGAGAGGGAGGAGGGAGGTTATAAGGCTACAGATCTAGTGTTTGTAAGCATTTCATTTATCAGGAGGACATTCAGAATCACAAGTAGAGAATGCCTAATTGAAATGATTCCAAGGTTTTCTATACACTTAAGGCATAAGAGCACCTGTTGTACAAATACCGTCGGTAAACAGTCCGTACTCTTTGATACTCTGTGTAGTTGTACTAAGTAAGGTAAACTCGGAGGAGACCAGGTATTACCGTAAACCCATTGCTGTCTCATTGTTGAAAGCCATACCCCTTATATATAGGATAAAGGTGCCACGGGGTACAATGCTTAAGTGACAAAGTGAGCGGGTAAGATAGTCTGACCTCATCCTGCCAGGTCACCTGTCCGCCTTTTAAATCAGCGCAGAGAATGTTATTATTTGAAATTGATAGCTGACGTTTAAGGTAACACTGCTAGAGCACATCTGGCGAATGATCAGCATAGTACTTCTATTATGTATACAACAGCTGTATGTTTCACTGATTAAACATCAATTACCTGTAATCGTTCATTTTTTTTAATGAAATTTTCAGTAAAAGAAATGGAAATAGAACAATATTAAATGATCCAAATATTTGAGATGTTTTCAGTCTATGCTTGTTGAGTCTAAGATCTATGGACACAAAATAATAGATTGGATTTAAGATTGTAATGCCCTCCAAGCGCTGCATAACAAAAAACATCCTTTTTTAAAAAACAAATTACATATTATATATATTGAATGCAAAACATCAGCCTGAAAAAGGTGACACTGTGAGGAGTTAACAAAGAAAACTGTAAAGTACTGTTATTGGAACAGGCACGTCCTCGGCTGTGTTATATAGCTACATGTTCGTACAGTGTCACACGACTCGGGAACATGTTTAAATTCTAATGAGATGCAAGCTTAAGATAGCTAGTATTTCAGGTATTATAGAAAAAGATTTAAAATGCTATCAATCACCAGGTATTCTTCCCTAAGCTTAAACATCTAGATAACAAAATCCCCGTGACCTATAGTATCTGGTGTAAGAGTCATAGGAGGGTACAATGTACATGGCTTTGAGGTATATATAGGTACGGTCAAACCCACATTGGGTTCTATGCTACACCGATTTATAATTGATTTATATTATGAATACAAGCTAACTACAGAGTTTTGAAGTCTTTCCTTTCCATGAACAGTTGTACATGTAGATGTGGGGTTTAAAGCATTGCTTTTTTCACCTGATTGGGATAAGTTCACTCTGATTTTTGGCAATGTTTCATTATTTGAAATAAAAAGCATTACATTTTTTTTCCAATATAGAACAAAATAAAACAGTTTAACCCTTTCACCCCTATGTAACTTTAGTAAACTTTTCCTTGCATTGATTGGGGTGAGTCTATTATGATCTACAGTGGTGAAATGGTAACACCTCATATGCAGTGTAACAGACAAGATACATTTCTATAGTTCCGTATATTGGTATATATATAATGTCAGCCTCATTAGATACAGACTTTGGTATAATTATGTGATATTAAAAGTATGATAAGAAGGGAAATATCAAATTGGTTCAAAACCTGTGTATGATATATCCCCAGAAACGAGCAAAATCCCTCACTCTACATACATGAAGAATACAAATGTCAAGGACACTTTTTAGGAATTTATATAACTTTTGTTTCAAGAATTTAGAATCAGTCATTGCATGATACATATTATATAATGTGTAGCATGTATACCTGATATCTCATGATCTGTAGTGGTAGGACTCAAATGAAGCTTTACTGGGTTAAGGAATTTGATTAAAATGGTAATTCATGCTTCGAGTGTGGAAGTAATCATATCTGGGTAAAAGAACTATTACACGTTTTATGGAGATTTTGTGATGGCTCCAAAATAATCGCACAATTCCAGACAAGATCAAATTGGAAGTTATCAAGTGTTGACTTTGTAGGACCAACCACAGGCCTTTATACACGGCTAAGTGTTTGCACACAATGTAGGTTTATTGATTCGAGAAGAGCAACAGGATATACCTATTTCACTTAATCACAAATTCCTGTACACTTTAGTATGCATTTAACTCGCGGACAAGACAGGTAGAGAAAAGACACGCACACATTTGTGTCGGAGGTGCTGAGATCGCTGAGATCTTCGAATCAGCCATTCAGCATAGACAGGTGTAATTAAATCAGTTACCTATTACATGTAAACTTACCCTGTAATAACTGGCATGTGAATTAAAAAAAAAATGATAGTAACTCATAAATCAAGCAGATGACTGAAATGGGAAAATTTTAAGAGGTGCAAGAATTCTATGACACTTCCTAGTCCTAGCGTCGGTCATAACCATGATTAGTTTTGATTTATAGAATACTATAGACATCCCTTAAAAAGAAAACATTATCTATGATTGAAATATAAATTGAAATACAGCATTTGGCATATATTTTCAAACAATTTAAGGGTACTTGTAATTATATTAAAAAACGATGCGTAGATTGTGTGTGAATTAGATTGAGTTAAATGTAAAATACATGCTTATTGTGTATAGATGACTATACCAGTGAATCTGTAATCACCACAGCATCATATAAATCAGAGAAAAGCTAAGCCTATGTATATACCTGAACAGGTAAATACGGTGGTACCTACTGTGTACCTGGGTAGACACACTGAAATACAAATCTGTGTCCCTGGATAGCTTTAGGTGTACTCAGTACAGGGTAAAACATCGCTGGATATAGTGTTCACACAGAGAATGGAATTCTCCTACATTTGTATATAAACTCATAAATATGTACTCACTTAAAACGATCTTATCGAAAGTTAAAGTTCAACAAGATTTAACATACTTAGCCTAGTCATGATCAATGTATACTGAACATATATATCTGAATGTAGAGACCAAAATAGACTTGTCTATATACCCCACAGTTCACTTTGGAAACTTCAGCTTCACACTTCAAGTGCGCCAGTAAACTTACATCAAGGTTATGTTGACCTTCAAAATTCATTTAATGTGTCATTATGATTATATTCAAGACATTTATACTTTGAGTTTTTCTGTTCCAGCATTGGCTAGATAACCAGAAAAGCCTGTCATCACAGCTTAAAGGTAAGTCTTATGAATATATTATATTTTGTAAACTTCTTTCTACTTTTATTACATAAAGTGTAGAGTATACAAATCTCCAGCACCAGAAACATTGACATATTTCTATAGCGATGTCAGTGATACAACTGATTATATTTTCATTCCCCAAACGTAGTTCTTCATTTTCTTTGTCTATTCATTATGATGTATAGGCTAAACCTTCATCAGTAATTTCAGTTTCCCATTTGAGTTACTATAAATGTATATTTAAGCATTTAACTGCTTTCATTTGGCATTCATATTGCCTATGAATGCCAATTGAAAAAAATTAATACTTATGTTTACTATTTTTGGAATCTGTTAATCCCATAGAAGTTTTAAGACTAAGTTTAGATAATGTATTTAGTACAAAGAAATTCAACTCCAGGGTGTTTACTTGCCAAGGTTCTTACCCTGATGTCTACATCCCTCGTTGAGTTTCCTATTTACATAATGATTTACACTTTTTGTCCTATCTTTAGGATTTTGGTAAAAATCAACACAGACATCGTGAATGCAGCAATAATTATATTAAATTTTCTAGATAATAAATTATCCAAAAACATATTTGGAAAGTTCAGTAAATTGAAGCAATATGCAAAAAGCTTTGCATTAAGTTTGTCAAATTGTTTATTTTCATCAGGTGATGTCAGTTGATGTTAAGAAAAGGGCAGGAGTATTGTGAACTTGCTGACATTTTCTAACTTTCACAGACATAAATCATGAAGAAAAGTAGAATGAAAATGACACATAACATGTATTGATAGTGAAAACGATGGGAACATTTTTGAAAGCAATAAATATGCGATAAAAATCTTCACAAAGATAAAAGTGACATATATGTGCAATAGTTTGCTGATATCATGCAGCAGTGCTTGGTGAAGTGATAATTTATCTCTGTAACATGGGATCCTCGTGTGTCTGTGATATTTATTGTTGTTTAATTGACATGGTGATATCTATCAGGGTATGGAGCAGTCATTTCTAGTGTAATTAGATGTTCACTAAACAACATGTTTTTCACATGTCTAGTCATTTAATTTTTGTGAATCTCCTAGTAACATGTATGTAAAAAATAATTTGTAAACAAATTAGAAATCATACAAACGATGTCCATTATCTATAAATATGAAGGCCTCTGTTTGGTGTTTAACGTCCTCGCCACAGCTAATTAGGTCATAGGAAAACAAGAAATTTGGAGGAATTATTTTTCTGCAAAAAATGTTTTACAAGACCATCTTAATTATGGTACATGTAATGTTATAATTAAATTGACAAGGTTTCCATTCTGTACATGTGTAACTTTAATTTACAGGACGTTCCATTCCGTAAATGCGTAACTTTAATTTACAGGATGTTCCATTCTGTATATGTGTAACTTAAATTTACAGGACGTTCCATTCCGTACATGTGTAACTTTAATTTACAGGACGTTCCATTCCGTAAATGCGTAACTTTAATTTACAGGATGTTCCATTCTGTACATGTGAAACTTAAATTTACAGGACGTTCCATTCCGTACATGCATAACTTTAATTTACAGGATGTTCCATTCTGTACATGTGAAACTTAAATTTACAGGACGTTCCATTCCGTACATGCATAACTTTAATTTACAGGATGTTCCATTCTGTACATGTGTAACTTAAATTTACAGGATGTTCCATGCTGTACATGTATAACTTAATTAACAGGATGTTCCATTCCGTACATGTGTAACTTAAATTTACAGGATGTTCCATACCGTACATGTGTAACTTTAATTTACAGGATGTTCCATACCATACCTGTTGTACTTTGGTGTGAAGTTCTACCCGGTGGATCCCTGCAAACTCAAAGAGGAAATTACAAGGTTAGTTATCACCCTAGAGACGGTATAGCAAATATATATAGCAAATATACAAAATTTGAGTTATACATACATGTGTATTACGTATGCTTGGTACTTATATGTTGATGTCTTTCCATGATAAGTTAAGGATGTATGCAATCTTATTGAATTTAGACATCTGTATCCTTTCCAATGGAATACCTCACTATGAAAGCTGAAAAAGATGTGTTTTAAATGGTTATTTGGACTTTGTCAATTATCAGAAAATAAACAAGTGAATTAACGCAGGATAAACAAGACTACATTTACCGGAAATACACTATGAAATTTTAAAATATTTGGATTTTGAAAAACGAAAGGGAGATAACAAATACCAACTTACTTCATTAGGTTTAATTACTGCCTTACAGTGGCTTGTAAAACTAGTCACGATATCATAGTATAATATCGTTACTGCAAGGTGACATATATCAGAATTTCAGGAATAGAAATATGTGCATTTAATCAAACTTGATAAGAGGTTTCATAATTGAATACATTGGTGAAGACATTTGAATGAAAAAAAGCCACAATGCTAATGCACGCACTATGCATGAATCACAATATCAATTTAATTGCTTTTCTGTGATCTCCACAGCATTTCATACAAAAGCCAAATCTGGAGCATTTGACCTTTTAAAAACTTTTCCTGAAACAAGTAAATTCTCATGATAACTGTTTATAACCAAGTTTTGGTTTAATGTTTTTGAAATAATTAGAGAAAACCCTGTTTCAGGAGAAGGCACAGAATCCTATGATGAATAAGGGCAGAGATTATATATATACATTTCCACCAATATCCTATTAACAGCTGTTACTGATAGTGTGTATGCATGTTAGATTGATTTACAAACACGGTCAGCCTATCTGATACTCAGGTAAGACTTGTTACTGTTTGGACAGGTACCAGTTTTACCTGCAGGTGAAACGTGACATTGTTCAAGGTCGCCTCCCGGTGACCTTTGAAGAAGCTGCTGAACTCTTCGCTTATGCCGTACAATGTGAGTGAATACACACACTGGTGATAAATCATGATAAATTGTAATCAAGTTGTTGAATTTCCAACACAAATGACAAGACATTGACTAAAATGATGAGTTTGAACATCACTAATTGACAGGGAGGCTCAATAAGGAAGGCGATACATGAACACCACATGAACTGCTTTGTAGATCTAGTATCACTGCTTTAGTGTTAACTGACCTTGCTGTAGTTTACAGAGACATTTTAACTATAATTTCACCTATACTGCATGGTCACGCTATACCATGAACATTCAATGTACATTCTTAATTATTACCTGATATGCCATGTAGATTAATAAGCTTAATAGAAAAAAAAAGATTTATTAAAGTTATATGTATTTTGTACTTATTCTATCAAATATGCTTGTAAGATATTGATTCATATGCCTTTCTAGCTGAGCTAGGAGACTATGGTCAGCGACTGGTACCAGGTTATGTGTCAGAGTTTCGATTTGTGCCAAACCAGACGGAGGAATTAGAGGACACTATATCAGCCTTACACAAACGACTGAGGTAGGTAATTCTTCCCTGCTCCCAACCTCTCAGCCTTGCACAAACAACTGAGGTAGGTAATTCGCCCCTGCTCCCAAACTCTCAGCCTTACACAAACGACTGAGGGAGGTAATTCTTCCCTGCTCCCAATCCCTTCAGCCTTACACAAACGACTGAGGTAGGTAATTCGTCCCTGCTCCCAAACTCTAAGCCTTACACAAACGACTGAGGTAGGAAATTCTTCCCTGCTCCCAAACTCTCAGCCTTACACAAACGACTGAGGTAGGTAATTCGTCCCTGCTCCCAAACTCTCAGCCTTGCACAAACAACTGAGGTAGGTAATTCGTCCCTGCTCCCAAACTCTCAGCCTTGCACAAACGACTGAGGTAGGTAATTCGTCCCTGCTCCCAAACTCTCAGCCTTACACAAACGACTGAGGTAGGTAATTCTTCCCTGCTGCCCACCCCTTCCTGTATACACTGTCTCCATCCATACTACATATATCCACCACCACACCCTTACACTTCACTAGTCTCAAACACACACTTCGCACCCCGCCCCTCCATCACAACCCATCTCACCTCACTGTCTCCATCCATACTACATATATCCACCTCCACACCCTTACACTTCACTAGTCTCAAACACACACTTCGCACCCCGCCCCTCCATCACAACCCATCTCACCTCACTGTATCCATTCATACTACATATAACCACCACCACACCCTTATACTTCACTAGTCTCAAACACACACTTCCCACCCCGCCCCTCGAACACAACCCATCTCACCTCACTGTCTCCATCCATGCTACATATATCCACCACCACACCCTTATCACTTCAATAGTCTCAAACACACACTTCACATCCTGCCCCTCCATCACAACCCATCTCACCTCACTGTCTCCATCCATACTACATATATCCACCTCCACACCCTTACACTTCACTAGTCTCAAACACACACTTCGCACCCCGCCCCTCCATCACAACCCATCTCACCTCACTGTCTCCATCCATCCTACATATATCCACCACCACACCCTTATCACTTCACTAGTCTCAAACACACACTTCCCTCCATCACAACCCATCTCACCTCACTGTATCCATTCATACTACATATAACCACCACCACACCCTTATACTTCACTAGTCTCAAACACACACTTCCCACCCCGTCCCTCCATCACAACCCATCTCACCTCACTGTCTCCATCCATACTACATATATCCCCCCCCCCCCCCTTATCACTTCACTAGTCTCAAACACACCCTTCAAATTCTTCCCTGCTGCCCACCCCTTCCTGTATACACTGTCTCCATCCATACTACATATAACCACCACCACACCCTTACACTTCACTAGTCTAAAACACACCCTTCACATCCCGCCCCCTCCACCACAACCCCTCTCACCTCACTGTCTCCATCCATACTGCATATATCCACCACCACACCCTTACACTTCACTAGTCTCAAACACACCCTTCACATCCCGCCCCCTCCATCACAACCCCTCTCACCTCACTGTCTCCATCCATACTACCTATATCCACCACCACACCCTTACACTTCACTAGTCTAAAACACACCCTTCACATCCCGCCCCCTCCATCACAACCCCTCTCCCCTCACTGTCTCCATCCATACTACATATATCCACCACCACACCCTTATCACTTCAATAGTCTCAAACACACACTTCACATCCCGCCCCCTCCATGACAACCCCTCTCACCTCACCTCACTGTCTCCACCAAACCCACTGTCCTTTTTTCCACCTCTCACCTCCATGTATACCCTTCCCCCACCATGTCACTACCATACTCCTCCCATGCTCTCCTGGAACCCTACCCCCTGTCTCCCACTGTACCTGACATGACCTTATGCTCTGTGACCCAAGTGCCAGTCTACCCCAATTCTTTCAAAGTCAGCTGGTGTTGGTGAAATAAGCCTGATTCTTCCCTCTCTGGCATAATCATAAAGTAACCACCTGCATGATTTATAAAACATATCTCAAAGGATCTCTCAAAAATATAGTTAAGGTTGAAGTGTTGATATAAATGTATTACTTTTCATTATGCTTTAACGGCCAGTGTGTCTATATATATATCGGAGAATGGTGGAATTTTTCTGGGCCAGAATGGTTATGGACCTTCAGACTGTTGAAGGACTATCCTATACTCAGAAAAACCATTTTATCTTGTTGATTTTCTCTGATATGGGTTCTCATTTCTGATAGAAATTACCTGGTAGGGACAGATGATTGAGTATAGAATCAAATAACTTACAGAGGTCTTAAAATATTTTCACATAAATAATTACGACTTGTTTGGAGGAGGTCACTTATTACAGGCCTAGGTATATAGTATTTAGTTTATTCAAGGTTATGACAATAAATGACTGCGTTTCAAGGTTGAAAGTTGGGTTTTATACTGTACTACAGTACTTTGTTTTGTGTGTAGTGTGTTGCATTGGTAAATGCAGTGCTTATATATATATACATGTGCAGTGTGTTTTAAATGTTTATGGAATAGTTAAATGTGTTTGAGTTGTATAGCTTATTGTGAAGTGTATTGTGTTGTGAATTAGTGTGCCTTATGTTGTTTGTTGTCTGTGTTTGTGTAATGTACAAAAAATGCATTGCATAGTATAGTGTTCCTTTGTGGCTTGTATTGTTCATTGTAATTTTTTTTTTTTTTTTTCAATGTTCAATGTGTATTGTGTAGACTTACAGTGTGTAATGTTGTAAAGGACATTATGTTTGTGTGTGTTCAATGTGTATTGTGTAGACTTACAGTGTGTAATGTTATAAAGGACATTGTGTCTGTGTGTGTTCAATGTGTATTGTGTAGACTTACAGTGTGTAATGTTATAAAGGACATTGTGTTTGTGTGTGTTCAATGTGTATTGTGTAGACTTACAGTGTGTAATGTTATAAAGGACATTGTGTTTGTGTGTGTTCAATGTGTATTGTGTAGACTTACAGTGTGTAATGTTATAAAGGACATTGTGTTTTGTAGTGTACTTTGAGTATTACTGTTGTGTATTGTGTTGTATTTCGTGTTGTGTTGTGTGAACATTTTGGTGATAAATTTACAAGTTCGAGAAGTAGTACACTTTTATCAAGAAGTTAATGTTCACTTTGGAGATTAAAGGAGTTTAGATTATGTGGTTACTTTATTGTATGTTTACAGCGGCCTTCGGCCTTACCAAGCAGAAGCCAAGTTCCTTGACAAGGTGAAATGGCTGGATATGTACGGTGTCGACCTTCACCCCGTAATGGTAAGATATCAGTAATCTATTTATATCTGTCTTTGTATCAATGTTGTACTCAAATTGTGTACCATGATGAGTATAGTACTCTCGCTATGTATACCCAGACTTCCAGGAGCTTTTTCCTAATTACTTGATACACCAAAACCTTTATTCAGGGCGAGAGCAACACGGAGTACTTCCTGGGACTTACGCCGATGGGTATCGTGGTTTACAAGAACAAGACGAAAGTGGGCAACTACTTCTGGTAACTATACACACTGACAATTGTGCTCAAGATTTTTGTAGGGATTTAAAAAATCTATTTTCCTTGACTTGTACCAGATTTCAGTATCACTTCACAGATTTGTTTGCTTTGCATGACAATCATTCTTCCTCAGTAAAACAATCATGATTTAGCATTTACTATGAGTATTGATACTGCTTTCGGTATGACCTGATCTCTATTTCTTTATTACAATAAATATGCTATTGAACATCTAGCCATCTACTTACTGCTGTGATTTTACTTAACTCCCATTTAAATACCAGAATGTTAATTGAATTTAATGGAAATGTCCCTTGCCTGCCAATTTGGACTAAATAAACTTTTAACTTTTGAAGTTATTTAATTTTTTTAAAAAGTTGTAATTCTCACTCAAAAATCCCTGATAAATGTTAATGATAGTGGCCTACAGGATTGGTGACTGTCAGACGTTAGATCTGGATCATTGATTGGCTTCTGTTATGTTTAGATCTAAAAAAGAAACTTTGAGTTTTCTTCATACTTTGAAGAGATGTTTAAAAAGCATTTTGAAGTCTGAAGACAGATCTGTTACAGTAATCTGAAACATATTTGATCCTCTTCATGTTAAACAGTCTAAAGGTTTTAAAGGAACAGAAATGGTGTCCATTACACAGATCTTATTACACATGAAAAGTCTTCAATACAGAAAAATATCAGGTGAATGGTCTTCATTACAAAGAGGTTTCTCACTAAGTGACTGTTGTGTATAATGTTTATATAACTGTGATAGAGAGATAGACAATCCTCAGTGATAGCGTTGTGTATAAATGTGTTTTTCAGGCCGAGAATCAACAAGGTCACCTTCAAAGGAAAAATATTCATCATCAAAGTCAAAGACAAAAATGTGAGTTGATCCGAATATAAAAAAAGCTTTTAGTAGGATAAGTATGGAATTGCCAGTAGCATTTAAATTTTAAACTTTTTTGTATATCCATGATTTTGAGACCTGATCAGAGGTCATGGGGCCCTGATTAGGGTTCATGTAATCAACTGATAATGATTTAATAGCTTTTATGATATTGTCTACCATAGAACATAATTCTGTGTTTTCTGTTTCATGATATATTTGTCACACAATGACCCTGTATAAGACTTTAGTGGTCAGTAAGAATTTATAGAGGCCCCATTGTCATGTCACAATCACATAACACCATTGGCAGCAAAGTGTTCTTTAAAGCCGACAGTGCAAGTTCAAAAGCTTTCAGATTAAAAAAAAAATCTGGTTTTGAGATCTTCCCTAGTGACAATCTCTTCTGGCTGTCGTATCTAGGGAAGTGCTGACATTTTATAATGTACTTGTTTGGTAACGAGTATGGGTCTTGCTGGGTATAAAAAGCACATTACCCGTCAAACCAGTTATAATTCGTTCAATGTGTGTGTGCAAGGTGACACTACTATACTATAAAAATAGAACAGTTTCATGATTTTGAACCAAAATTTATTATCAGATCAGTTAAATAAATTGAAACGGAACACATCAATGATATCATTTATCTAAGAAAAGTGGAAATAATAGTAAAATAAGACAAATTGAATTATCTTAAGCCCATTCCCCCCCCCCCCCAAAAAAACAAAAAAAAAAACCAACCCCCGAAAAAAAAAAACAAACCCCCAAAAAAAAAAAAAAATGAAATAATCTAAACCCCATCCCCCCCCCCCCCCAAAAACAAAAAAAAAAAAACAAAATTAAATTTCTTAAACCCCTTCCCCCCCCCCCCCCAAAAAACAATACAAAAGAAAAAACCAAGCCCTGAAAGAAACAAGCATACGACTAACGCTAATGCCTACATTTTAGATATCCAACTTCATGTAGTAATAACATCCTGTGTGAAAACAACGTTAACACTAATCATTTCCATGAGAACGGTTCAATTATCAAATTTCACATTGTTGACTACACACATGGGAGTGTCACATTTTGCACGTGTTTTGCTAGTAAAGCGTCTATATGACAAAGACTAAGAGTTCATAATAAAGTTTTCATGTGTGGGTGTGGTTCTATGCATGTGAAAGACCGATGATATAAATTGGATTTGTTAAAGTATTTTCAGTAATATACCTTTTATTTTGGATACACAATTTTTAATACATTGTATGTCCCATAAGTAACAACTTGCTTGGCAGTTTTTTGATATCGGTTGTCAATCAGGGGGCACGGTGCATTGAATTGCAAGACGGTCAGTTGTAATATGATAACTGGTTTGACAGGTAATCATGCGCTTTTTATACCCAGTGAGACCCATACTCGTTACCAGGCATTGACAAACTAAAATGTTGGCACTTCCTAGAAATGATAGTTGGAAGAGATATGGGAGATCTCAAAACCAGAAAAACATTTATTTTTAGATATTTTCTTTTTAATCTCAATTGAAAGCTTTTTAACTTGCACTGTCAGCTTTAAATTTGACTCCAAATTTGGCATGATGTTTAGAAAAGTATAAGAATGTTTTTAAGTGTTGATTAATCAATCAAGCCATTCCAAGGGTCCTTGTTGCAGTAAATTTAATGTGTAATTTGTCAGTGAAGGAAATCACTACAGGCATTTGCCTCGTCCTCACTCACTATAGTTCTGACTGAACCCTGTCCCCTATAATGAGTTACAAATAAACCTGTTGTATTTCAGAATGATGAGCATACTTATGCATTTGAGTTGATGAGTAAACTCGCCTGTAAACACCTGTGGAAGTGCTGCGTGGAACATCATGCTTTCTTCAGGTGAGAAGTCGTCAGTCAGTAAGGGTAGGTGGTGGACGGCCCCCTCCCGTAACACACCGGCGTGGACGGCCACCTACCGTAACCCGCCGGTGTGGACGGCCCCCTACCGTAACACGCCGGCGTGGACGGGCACCTACCGTAAAACGCCGGTGTGGACGGCCACCTACCGAAACACACTGGTGTGGACGGCCACCTACCGTAACACGTCGGTGTGGACGGCCCCCTACCGTAACCCGTCGGTGTGGACGGCCACCTACCGTAAAACGCCGGCGTGGACGGCCACCTACCGTAAAACGCCGGCGTGGACGGCCACCTACCGTAACACGCCGGTGTGGACGGCCACCTACCGTAACACACTGGTGTGGTCTGGTAATTCAGTTATACATGTAGTACAGGTTTGTATGGATAATGTAGAAGTTATTTATATCTAAACAGTGTATCAAGCTTGATATTAACAGTCTCCTATCTTCCTGCTTAAATATATATATATATCAAGATATTTCATAAATATATCTTTGCGTACCAGGCTTAAAATATCCTGCTGTTAGCCATGGGATTTATTTATGCACCTGTAGACTACAGTTAATATCATCTTTCTTGTGTTGCTGACAGTAATTACAGGTTCTATATAAAGTCATTTTTACTGCTGTCAGTAGCTGTTCATGATTTCATGTTATGAGTTGTTAGTTATACTAAACTCTCACTAAGTGAATGTTTTACTGAATAGACACATGCTACTAAATTACAACTTTGGCTGTGGACAATCCTGTTTTTGGAAAAATATATCACTTATATATAAATAAAAGATAATATTTAATTAACTGTTAGCTGATGTATTTATAGCTGACTAATCAAAGTTTCTATGCTCTGTGTTAAATACATACATAGCTATAATGTTACCTGTTTAAACCAACCCCTGTATAACCTGGTCCAACTTTTACAAACTTTCCTTAACTGACAACTTTCCATAAGACAGTATTACTGAGTTATAGACAATTTCTGTCATTAACCCACTCACCCCTAAAGTCATAATGAACCTTACCAAATCATGGACTGAGCAAGTCCAGTTTAAATATTTAGGGAAAATGAGTTAAAATCTTTCTGTAACTCTAATATTGCTTTTGTGTATAGAAAAACTTAAGTTTAGTGAAACTGGTGCCTGAACGTTGAAAACCTGTACATTTGACATTTAACAAGGTCCTACTGGTTACTTCAGGCTACCTGGTATACGAATTTGCCACACTGTAAGGATGAGAAATTGTTCTTGTGGTTTTCTGGTTTAGACAGGTTTCACTGTAGAGATAACAATTATTTTAAAGGTATCATTAATATTGAGATTTATACTGTTTTAATTACTCTCCAACACAAGGCTTCCAAGTTAATCTCAATTATCACCAATTGTCATACCTGCTTTCACAGCAAAACTGGGGTACATTATTTGATGATATAAGATACAGTGTAATTATGAAGGGAGATTTAATTATTTGAAGAATTGTATAAACTTGAGAGTAATTAAAATGGATTGAGATACTTTTTCAGTCTTTTCAATATTTTCAGTATCATGTAATATAATCCTGCAAAATACTGTGCTCTAGAAGTAATCTTAGTTGATTTATTTGATCACCTCCGCCAATCATCTTCTTCATCAGCACTGTAAATCTCTTCTTGTCATTGGATGATATGGAATGTTACTCTGACTTGATTATCTTTTATAACTTGAGTGTATGGAAGTGTTTGGGACATGAAACAAACATTTGTTAATTTTTACTTGGTGATGCCAGAAAAATCAAGTTATTTTTACAAATGGTAAGTGTTTCTAAAAGTCAGTTATAAACAGCTGTCCCACCTCAAGTTTCTTGATATTGCACACATTTTGTATACAATGTAAATTTAAATGATAAAAAATCATTTTGTGAGACCTTTAATAGATTTTAAATTCCAGTAAAAAGTTGTTACGACAATCAAAGGATCATTACATATGTAATACATCATATATTTATTTGTAAATTTATAAAAACAAAACAATCCTGCAGTTCAGCAAGAGGTTTACAGTACATTACAAGTGGAGCCGGTCCTTTCTGACATCCAGTAAAACCAATATTTCTGGTGATCTGTTGTGAGGTTGAATTTCATATTTTGTCAAATAATGTCAGGTTGGCAGAATCTAAAGGTGTCAGATAGGACAGGTTTTATAGGTGTTAATACCATCATTCCATGACTCACCTGTATCATCATCGTCACACACCTGTGTATATCCTCATCTCTCCATTGTTTTGTACTAGACTAAGGCAGGCCAGTGACTCCTATGCTAGGTCAGACTACAGTTATAGACCTACCTCCCGTAGTCGGCGCGCCAGGTAAGACCATGCTTCATCACACCCTCACTCCGCTAATGGGCTAATCTAAACCCAGACAACTGTCCATTTCATTGGACAAACCTGGTGATAGTTCATTCCATTGGAATGTAAAGGGATGTGTAAGAATCTTTTGTGTTGTGGCTTGTTGACCGTGTGAGCAGCTTTATGTGTGAATATAATGCAGATATTGGATGTTGATTAATTGATATTTTATTTCTTGAAGTGATTTTTAATTGATTCAATGATCATTTTTTAACTAAGAAATTTTGGAATGGTATGGAAAATCTCCAATTCTAATTGAGACGATAACACAGGAAGTACTGTGTAACGTAGTGGTGAGGAGTACCAGCCCTGATAACACTAACATTCATCAGTGATTTTTGTCTACAGTAAGGTTAACACTGGTGATGGCTGTCATCGTTAGCTTACCCTGTCTGCACTGTTTCTTACACTGTAACTTGTCTGTTCACAGTTTGGTTTTCACATTGAACTGACACTTAATTTCATTGACATTGTGAAAGAACTTCAGTTTCAGGTGTTTACTCTGGAGTAATATTTATGAAATACTGAAATAGAAACACTATATATAGGCATTGTAAGGACTCATCTCAGACAACTGTGTGATGCAGATAACTTATCTATTACTAGGACTAAAAGCTATACATTGTATTACTGACAGTTTGGTTTAACATTTGAATATCAGGACATTTTTCTTGCCATGTATGACATCTCTGTATTCTAAAAGCAAGATGGATTTACATGTATTTGTGGTAAGTTAAACTGAAGGAATCAGTCAGGAAAAGTCAGGTCTGAAGACTGTTTTAATGGAAATTTTGCCTTGTGGGCTCTCTTTAATTCCTAACTGTATACCTATTACTCACACTTAAGGTTTAACAAATAAGAAGACTTGACTGAAATTTTACCCAGTACTTAAATTTATCAAATATTATGAAGATCATATTTGAATGTTCTATGCTAGGCTTGATTTCAGCACAAACCTTGATATATTTCATATTGTTTTACCCATAAAAGATGTTGTGAGAGCAGAATGAGCCATTTAGTACAAACTTGTTTATTTTGAATTCCTATTTATAACAAAGTCATCTTTTTGTCCTCTAGCAAGAAATTATCTCGCCAACACCAAAATGTTCAATGCGTTTTGTGTATAGGGAGCCACATGGTCTCTAGGATTGTAATTGTGTTATTGTCTGCTGCGGTTTGTTATATCTGGCTGTTTTACTGTAGTACTGGGGTTTGTTATATCTGGCTGTTTTACTGTAGTACTGTGGTTTGTTATATC